ACTACGTAGTTACGTTAGTAGTATAGTATATATATATATATATATATATATGTATATATATATATATATATATATATATATATGTATATATATATATATGTGTGTGTGTATATATCGGTATATATATAGATATGTAAATTCACATATAGACGCATATAAACATATGCAGATAGATACATAGACATATACATATACACTTACATATATATATATATATATATATATAATATAATGAAGCGCAAAAAAATCTTAGCTATAGTACGCGCTGCCTTGCTGAATTAAATCAATTTTCTGCTATCTACGAAGAATATAATGAAGCTAAAAGTGAGTTATACACACATTTTGTGTCACCTCCCGAACACCGTTTTGGTTTTTGGCATGCATGGTGATGTGTGTCAAGGTAAGGTTTATGTGAACTCATAGGTAAGATAATTCCCGTGATTTATATGTATGAGGGTGGTTGTTGCGCATACCATTATAGCGTAGCCAACAAGCTTGTCAGTCGAACTGGGGGTGAGCTCTGCTGTGATTTTCTAGGCTTTAGCTGATTGTTTCGTATTTTATGTTGAAAGTTACTGTTTGTGTTAAAAAAAATATTTGCTTTCACATTTAGCCATTGCCTTCAAGTACGATTTCGCCTTCTGGAGACAGAGACCAGGTCACCTCTGGGGGCTGGGGCTCTAAACTCTAAAGCCCTGGCCTCTGGGCACTTCTCCCTGTTTTATGACCTTGAGAAATGAGGTTCCCGAAATACACGTCCAGATTCGCTATACGCCCACAAATAACCCCCCATAGACCATTAAAGTAGTATGCAAAATGCCAGAAAGGTCTGTTAGGTATGGATGGTCCTATATATCGCTTACGTCTGGGACTCTGGGTAGATTGACCCAGTTCTGGTACAAAATGGAAAACTTTATAACTTTTGAACCAATAGTCCGATCGGGATGGGATTAAGCATACGTTGATTACTCGTCAATACGAATAATTTGAATCGTCTAACTGCCAATAAGGTTGATTTTTAACGGTACCTCTGGGTCAACCTCTATAGTAAAAATCTCCGGTCTCCTAAAGCCAATTTTTTATGTTCACAGCTCCAATGGGAGGCTTTGGGCGGGGTGCCTAATTTGTCAGTCTATGATTTTGTTCTTTTTTTTAAAACAAATAAGGTAATATTAAAAATTAGAAAAAGCAGAGTGAGCCAGCCGATGCCGCCCAATGGCCAGCCAGTCTACATCTTGGCCCTGCTGCCGCCCTGCTGCCAACAAGGAATGGTGGACTGGAAGGGGCTGGGCCGCCGGGGAAGAATCCTGTTTCCACTTTCCTGAATCCACAAAATGCAATGAGTCGAGTGTCGACTCGCCAGTTGCTGAGTTGCAACTTGCCATTACGGAGTTACCAGTTTCCACTTCCCAGTTGACCTGTGACCACCATATTAATTTATTTGGTTCATATTTACTCTCACTCACTACTAATAAAAAAATCTCTGCCCAAGAGAGTAGAGAGAGTCTCTCTTCGTCGTCTTCGGACTTCGACTCTCTCTCATGTAATTTTTAAATTATACTCTAATTGTCCTCTATTGTTGTGTTGTTCAAGTTGTTGTGTGTGTGTGTTTTATTTTATTGTAATAGAGCCTTCTACTCTAGACTCTAGAGAGAGTAGGAATACAAAATTCAAATTCAAATTCAAATTCAATTGCTTTAACAAAAAAAATTAATACCCTTGATATTTGTTTATTTAAAAGCTCAGAACAGCAATCCTTATCATTTTCTAAAAACAAATAGATCACCATTGAATTGTATATACGTCATTGCACGTGGCAGCATGGCAGAGCGAGGCAGACTGCGGACTCACGGAATTGTGGCAGAGTTACGGTCTTGTTGCAGTCTCTTGTTGAGTTGTTGTGGACTGTGTACTACGAGTATGTATTTAGTCTGTAAATAATGTATTTAAATATGCTCAGTTGTTCGTTGACCCTCCGGCCTCCTGAATCCTCAGACCTACTAGTCCTCTGTAGAAATACGGCCTCCGGTCAGTCTAAAATATCAAGATCAATTGAGATAATACATTGGTTTTTATTTGTATTTTAAATAATTTAATACAAGCTCTTTTTCCAATATTTCCAAAGTGTTCTAAATTCA